TGTCAGGTTAACCACTACAAAGTTTGATGAAGTAACACGGAGTAGAGGTGATGACTTATTAGCAGATACGGGTACTTATCAGAGGCAAATGGGAAAATTGTTATAGTTGACCATCAGCTACATTGTGCAAACATTAAGTCAATTCATGCAACAGCCAAAACAATCTCATTGGGAAGTTGTTATCAGAGTAGTAAGATACTTGAAACTTGCATCCGGGAAAGGTATTCTCATGAGTTTATTAACTAGTCAAGAGCTCACATGTTAGTGTGACTCAGATTGGACAGCTTGCCCAAATACTAGAAAGTCTGTGACAGGTTACTTAGTAAAATTTGGGAGTTCTTTGGTGTTCTGGGAATCTAAGAAGCAACGATCGTGCCAAGGAGCTCTGCAGAAGTAGGATATATATATAGCATGGCTTCAACAGTGGTTGTAGTTACATGGTTACTAGACTTGTTTCAAGAGTTGGGAGTAACAGTGAAACAGCCCGTGACAGTTATGAGTGACAGTAAAGTTGCTCTACAGATTGCATCTAATTCAATATTTCATGAACGAAAAAGCACATAAATGTAGATTGTCATTTTATCTGGGACAAGATCAAGAGTTGACTTATTGAGACAATGTTTGTTAGAACTGAAGAACAAGCACATTTTCTAACTAAGGGGCTTAGTAAAGTGCAACATTCCTATTTGACGAACAAGGTAGGAGTGTTTAACATTTTGCACCCTCCAGCTTGAGGGGGAGTATTAAGATGTGACAATTTAGGTTGTTAATATTGTTACAATTAATTAGATTAGTAGTTAATTGTACAGCTGTAAAGTGTAGTTAGTTAAGGCGGTTAGCTTAGCATTTTACTCTATATATTCATAGCTATTATACATGCACATAACAATTCAGATCAATACAATTTTCACTTTCAAAATATCTTCTTATTACATAGTTCTCTCTAGATTATTGATCTCCATTGATGAACAACTTGAGCTAAATTTTAAAGCTCATAGCTCATATTTTCACACGAAACACCGAGTATAAGTTGGAGACCTTTGAAATATTTATCGTTTAATAGAAAATTTGAATCATTAACCTATAAAACATGGTAAATAATCCATCATAATAAGTTAAATATAGTGTACAAATTAATCTTTTATACCATCGGTGTGGGTAAGCTAAACTCATCGCAAACACTTATTTATTAGAATTCTTAAAATACAAGTGTTCCTTCATCGTCTTTTATACTTTTCATTTTCTTGTTAATTCATTTTGCTTTCACATGTATAAATCATTATTCGGTTTTATATAGTAAAAAAAGAATGGCAAATTATTGTCATTTAGTAAAGAGTACAAATACTTTCTATCAAAAATTTCTTCATTCTTATAACTCGAATGCAAAACCTCTTTTTGTAGATAATACAACATACTAGTTATCTTCTCATGGAGAGAAATATGAGTTTGACTTTAGTCATATAAACTTAAAATTTTCACTCAAGTCTAATTCCTAATAAAGTCTATTTATTTTTTCCTAAGCAATGACGAACCAAACAAAATATTGTTATCGTCACGTACTATAAGGAAAATGTTTTTTCTAGTATATTTTCCAATATATGACTAGGTATAATGTGACATATTGTAATTGTACGAGGTGTGTAAAATATTGTATTAATAGAATAATGTTTGGATGATATATTTTTTTTTAATATTTAAAATTAAAGACAAAATCTAAGGGTTGATTTTCAATTTTCAAATACATGCTCTGCACAAATTATATGATGAATCTTGATTGAAATTTTCCATTCAATAATATTGAGCGGCTGTTGTCACGAATATTTTGATTGAATTGATTAGAAAAGAAAAATTAATACTCCCTCCGTTTCATTTTATGTGGCACTTTTCGAATTTCAAGATTCAAACAAGTTTATCTTTGACTGTAAATTTTTCATAGATTTTTTATACATTTTGAATTTTTAATTATTGTGACTGTACTTTTTACATAGTTTACAAATATATAAATTTTATTTCAAAAAAATTGAAGATTCCATGCGTAAATTCCCGGTCAAATTAAAAAGTTTTTCACTATTTTAGCAAAAAATTGTTTGTCATCGTTCATTTTGTCAATGAACTGATTCAATACGAAATGAGTAGAAAAACTATGTTTTATATACAATTTTTTCATTAATTCACGCTTTAAAAAAATCTTTATTTGTAATAGTGTGTGATCAAATTATGTTGCTTGCTCCTAGGATTGAGTGCATCATTTATAAATGGTCTAGATTAATCGACTCAAGTTGTAACATATTAAATAGGTAAAAGATCACTATCAATATATCTCCCAAAGTCATGACACCAATTAATTGAACTTATGACATTAATATAATGAATATTGATGGCCAATCCAAACATGTCAACATAGAATGTTTCAAACAACATATCTTGTACCATAAGAAAAATAATTTTGCAAATTTAATAATATCTCTTTATCTTATTATCTTGATTGACTTTTGAAGAACTCCTAATAAATTCACTTTAAGAAACAAATAAATTATAATGGAAATGATTTGAATCATTAGTCAAAATAGCTATATATTGAGGATCTTATAGTTGTCGAAATATATAGATGGATTTGTCACGATCTTGTCACTGAGTGACATTCATACTAATTCTTCGGTGAAAAAATCAATTACTAACCCAACTTAACCAATCAAGATTTACTATAGATATCAAATCATGAAATAAAACAACGAAATAACAGTTAAAATTAGATAAAGACTAGAGTTTCCATAAACTCCATCATTTAATAAAATCCATTTGCGAAATTTAACTCTCTAGAATATAAAAGTCGTAGTACCATAACTCTAAATAGTCAAAAAAGAGGATGGAACCCCGAAAACTTAGAAAACAATAAACTAAAGTCTATGAAATGTCTAAGTCCGAAAAGATAGACTAAGAAATGGAGAAGAATCCAAAACAGTCCAAACGAGCAACTTACCCTTGGATTCGAAGGTCACACGTCTCTCAACCGAGGTCTCGTATCAACCGCCTAAATATGCCATGTACTCAACAAGAAAAGAGTAAGTACAGTATTAGTACACAATGTGTACTGATATGATCATACTGCCATTTCCAAAATATGATTGTAAACAAGTAACTACAAAATGGTAATACATGTTAACACATATACCAACAGACACAACATAATACAAATTCTCAATCACAACCTTGACTTACCCATGCATGTGAAACATGTCTCATATGATCACAAAATGCACATACCTAATCCTCTCATGAAAGCCACACACAAACGATTAGTGTACCATCATGATATCCGACCCAATCATTAATGATTCATACTATGTGTGGTATCCGAGCCAATCATTAGTATCATGTACTGGCGTGGTACCTGAGTCAACCATCAATCACAAACAACATGCACAATCACAATCACAATGAACAACCAATTTGAAACAACAAGTAAATAAATAGGTTCACTACATGAGATTACCACATGAAGTCATTTTCATTAGCCTTCTAATTTCCCCCACATGTATTGCACAAATAATACTACAAAGCAGTTAACATGCACACATTACATACTTTGGAAAACAAACAAACCGTCACCTACCTCGAATCAATCCTTGGAAACTCTAAAGAGTCTGAGCTTTCCCTTTTTGCAATGCTTTGATTTGTTCTTGGTTTAAAACAATAATAAAACACAACAATGAAGGTCAAATGACCTAAAACTACCCAAATTATACTCAAATCCTAACTCCGTGTCAATTCATGATCATTCTACCCCGATCAAGACTTTTTCATCATCAATTCAAGTCAAAACCCTCTCTCAAGAGCAATATCCTAGATTCTAAGGCTTAAGAATCAATTTACAATATAGGGAAGTAATTCACTTACCTTTATCAAGGAAATCGGTGGAAAAACTTATGGTAATTTCCCTAAATCGCCTTTCATTTTAATTCCCAAGAAAGAAATACAGAAAAATAATAGGCTTTTGAAACTTTCCGGATTAAAACCCAACTTATCCCGCTATAGCGGCTGCACAATTTGTCCCGCTATAGCAGCGTGACATCCGCTATAGTGGCTTACACGGAATTAGAAATTCGTAAACCTTCCACAGAACCCTCATTTTGCAACATATTTTCAATCATTGACGTTCTATATAAACTATTTCACGCCAAGTTTGATATCGAGAGTTATACTCACCCCAATTTGATTCCAGAAGGTTCTATAGACTCCATCTGAGACTGATCTAGGCTAGAATTTTAAGTCTTTACCCAAAAAAAAATTCTAACCCGATTATTTTACCATTGGTCTGCCCATAACAATCGGAGCAGATCATTACAGGATTGATTATCTTCATCTTGAACGTCACATTACTTTTATTAATAGATTAATGTCACTCTTTTTTCAAAATTCATTTGACATTTTCTTTTAACTTTGGAACATCTCAAAATGTTTTGATATTATTTTACTACTAATAAGACTTTTTAAATTGCAAGAATTTATATTCGTTAAGCTATTTGTTTCTTAGTATTAATGTGCTTTTTTTTCTTTTTTAAATATTCTTAATTTAAAATCTAAACTTTGAATTCAATTGTATACCAATAGGAATTTACGACGGACAAAATTTTGTAGCAAACAATAAAAATTTCACACTAATTTTACTTAACTACATATAAGCGACAAACTATAAGGAAACTCAATCATTTAGGAGTTTTTTAGGAACGGATTATCTATGGAAATTTGACATATATTATTCTATTATGTAAAAATATAATATGCTTAGTCAATCTTTATAGAAGCAAGTATAATGCCTTCTTATCTCAGTTTTTTTATACATTTGCAAGACGTTATTCACTAAACCATACTATTGGTCCACGTGTCAAGTATACAATGACCAATTCCTTCTTCCCTTCTATAAAAACCCCAAACTTTCTTGTTAATTTCACCGAAACATCAATTACTTGCTTGATTAATTTTCTGAAATACTCTCATTATTATTAAGTCTTTCAAATTCAAAAATTATAATGTCTGGTTGTGGTTCTAACTGTGGTTGCGGTTCTAGCTGCAGTTGCGGCAACGGTGGAGGGTAAGTCAACTGAGCTTCTAAGATTCACTTTTTTTTTTTTACAAATGTCCTGAACTCTTAATACTTTTTTTTAACTTCAGTTTCAAATATTTTCTTTTCAATTTCAACCAAACTTATGATATACAAATAAGTTTGATGGTACATAAAATTTTATATGTACCACGTATATATATATAATAAATTACATATATATAGTTCAATTCGAGAATAATAAATATGAGTTGCGATAGTTATAGTATCTCAATTTATTGCAGGTGCAGCATGTACCCTGATTTGGAGAAGTCCACTACCTTTACCATCATCGAAGGAGTTGCACCTATGAACAAGTAACTAATACTTTATTTTGTTGTGAGTTTTAGTTTTATGTATTTATGGTCTAAAATATATCAACATGATTAGATGACTTATAAATTATAATAAAGTAATTGAGTTCAAGTAATATCAATCGAATTAAAATAAATTTTAAAAAATATATCAATCGAATTTGAAAGAATTATTTTTCACTATCATGTCCCTTTTACCTTAGTTGAGCCTCACATCGGTAGGTTAAGGCCTTAAGGGTTACTTGATGATCTCCTTATATATGGTCCGGGAGAAAATTCTCCCTTCCTGAGCTAACTTTTCTGCGGTTGATCAGTTAGTTAGGCCCAAGATTCATATCTTTTTTATATGGTTTTATTCAATTTATTATTTCATTACAATCTTTATATCATCCACACTCCAGATGTCCAGTCTTAAATGTGGGGTATTGAGTTCACACCAGTGGATTAATAAGGGCTACTCTACTTATATGGTCTTGAACAATAGCCTCCTAATGAGCTATATATCTTTTAGGGTTGATCAATTACCTAAAAATCCATTTTTATATACACCTATCATAGCAGGTAATCTCTGTCTTACTTTCAAGATTACAAATCTCACTTTTCTCGTGAGTAATGTGTAGTATCTTAACTTTTGTAACTCAACTTTTACATCATCGGTGCATATAATTTGAACTCAAGGTATTACAAATATAATAATTTAAATGGGGAAGTTGGTAAAAATGGCAAAATATCACAAGTTAATTTATTTTGTATGATAAATGTTGCAGCAAGAGAATGGTTGAAGGATCAATTGAGAAAGCAACAGAAGGAGGAAATGGGTGCAAGTGTGGATCAAGCTGCAACTGTGACCCTTGCAACTGTTGAAGTTCTACTATAGTCTATATATACAGTGCTTCAACTATATGGATATGAAAAAAATTGTTTTTATGTATTTATTATCAAGTGTGTTATGTAACATTGTGTTGTAAAAGCTTTGTATAATAATTTGAATAAGACTATAGCCATGTAATTAATAGTGTGGGATGCTACTATACTATACTCTCATGGCTTTTGTGTTTTGGTTATTTAATTTGATGTTTGTTTGAAGGTGGCTTATTATCTGAATTGTAACACCAACCTTATTGATATGTGCAATACATATATAAGTTATCTCCTTCATTTTAACATATATAACTAGTCATTTGTACCCTTTTGAAAGTATTATGTATTTTGATGTTGACGAATTCAGAATTTAGAACTGGTAACGTTTAGAATAAGCGTAAGGTATGTATGTCTACTAAGAATTTAAAGACTTCCGGTGCCACATATATGATCTCTAAGCTAAATTTAAAATAAAAATAATGAAATAGCTAGATTTGAACCTTGGTCTCGCAAGTGGCTCATCTACCTTGTACCAACAGGTACAAGAACACTCCTATGGTCATGCGTGCATAATTAATTATATATTAGTTTCTGCCAGTTTCTTAAGATAGATATACATACATACACATGGTTTTTTTTCGAAATTAACGTGTGCACGTACACCATCACTAATCAAGGTGGGTCCGCCTCTGTGTCTATATACTTATTGTTTTTAAAATATATATAATTCGGACGACTCGATTTATCTTAAATTCCTTGTTATTACTTTTTACATAATTTGTGATTTGTTCCTTTTAGTGTTGATGGATTCAAAATCTAGAGTAAATAATTTTGTATGATGAGTTTGATTTATTATATGTATATATCTTTTAATTATTTAAGTAATATGGAGTATATATTTAATTCGAATGGAAAAGCAATAGGTTTTAGTTGAACCCAACTTGTCCTAAACTTAACTCAGTTGATAGAAGCTACAACATTTTGCAGTCTAGTGGCTAATTTTTTTTATATTATATTTAGTTTCGAAAATAACCCACTTATATTAAAGGGATATTTAATTTCTTAATGTTATTTAAGGCTTTAGTAAATTGAAACCAGTCATTTCCGTTGGCATATATATTACAAAAGAGGATAATTATATACAAATAGCGTAAAGAAATTTACTTAAATCAATTAAAGAGCGGCAAACTATTATGTTTTGATGATATCTTTTTTTTAATATTAAAAAGTAAAAAACAATATCTAAGGGTTGATTTTTATTTTCAATTTTCAAATACATGTTCTGCACGAAATGACACGACAATCTTACTAGTTTCCTTGTGATAATTGACCATTAATTTTTATTATAAACTTACATTACAAGTTTTAATATAAAAGGCTGAATGACAGCCATATTCGATAGACATGAGATCATTAATTAAAAAAGAAAAAACTTTGACTAATTAAGAAGGAAAAAACAAGAGAAAATTAAAATTATTATAATTCTGACGTGGCAAAGCGTGAACAACACCTACAATAGCAAGATTGGTTCTTTGTTTTGAAGGGGATATTAAATCCAACTCAAACTACATTAGGGGGTAAAGAAACGCCAGTAAAGTTATATTGCTAAACTAAGTTATGCATACAAGTTTTTTTTATGTCTTTTCTCAATAAAATACTCATATAAGAATAATACATAAATTTCATGCTTAAATCAATAAAGAAAAAGATTAAATATGAGACAAATAATGATTAATATACGTATTTTGACCTCATATCATCGCATAAGGTCCCATTTGGGAGAGAAACATTCTCTATCAAAAAGAATTCCAAGCGTTGACAATCATATTGGGATCTCGTATAATCATATTTTGGGTTATTTTTCATGAAATTAAGGTTCTTGTGTGTAACCAAAGAATGTGGTGAGATGGACAAAATTCCTCTATAAATTTTAAAAAGAAATTTTGTGTTCGAGCTTCAGAAATGATATAGTGTTTAGTAAAAACACTTCTCTCTCAAAAAGAAATAGGAACTCATGGCCTGAAGTCAGGGAAGGACTCGTTACTCAAAGGGGTGGCAAAAGGACAGATATGTTCATACATTATCGTACACATGATAGAGGAATATTAGTTGGCACAACTAATACTATTTCCACGTGGAATGCGGCTATTGGACCTAGTAATTTAGGGACCAAGTGGAACCCCATATGGACGTAGTATTTTAGGGCTCAAGGGCAATTGGACGTAGTATTTTAGGATTCACCTTTGTCCATCCCAGATAACTTGAAATCTGAAGCAAATTATTGAGAACAACTACTCTCCTCAATGCCGAGCAAGTGAGGATAAGCTATACATCGAATGAATCCTCAGTATTCATGTCACTCCCATTTGAACGCATCTCAAAATCCAATATAACAATAACATACCCAGTATAATTCGACAGGTGGAGTCTAAGGAGAGTAATGTGTGCGCAAACTTTACCCCTACCTTGGTAGGTAGATAGGTTGTTTCCGATAGACCCTCAGCTCAAGAAAATAAAAAGAGTAACCACTGAAAATACTAAACAAGGTATGACAATTATTGGGAAAGATTAGCTAAAATTATAGATCGAGTTAAACGTAGTCAAATAGAGAGAAATAGAGCAAATACTAAAAGCAATGTTTTTAGCAGTTTGGTAAGTAAATTCATGTGAGATAATTAAGGAACTCTGAAGCAGTAGCAACAGCACCTCCTGTAATGGCATCCATTACAATCTTGTCTCTGTTGTTGTTGCTTGCAGCAGATATGAGAGCTCCTGTCAACGCACCCCCAATCATAGCATTCTTCTGCAAACAGAGTAAAACAAAATGAATCGAAAAAAAGATATTGACTAGTTATTCAGAAAAGAAACTTCAAAATCTCAACCTTCTTTCAGTAGGACCAGTGAATATTAACACTCGTCCAAATTAAATTACGTACCACGTACCAAAAACCATCATTTTCAGTAAAAGAAAAGAGCAAATTAATTAGTCAGATACATAGAATGTACGATGGTCAGTACTAGTGAAAATTACACCTCGTTACAAAATTGACTATGTAAACTTATACTTCGCATATATAAGTACAGGCAATCAACTTCCATCCGTTGAGCAAATTAATATAAAAATGCAGTACAAATTACCCAATCATTGGTTCCACGAATTCTCTCCGCTCCATACTCCATTCCAGCATATACCCCAGCAACAGTCCCTGATCAAAGAGACAACATTTGTTACATAATCCACTTGAAATTTCAACAAATTGGGAAACTAAGAACTTCTTTCTAACAACCCATTTTAAAATTTATATACGGGTGGATCTTGTGCAGATTACTCACCCCAATAAGCACCTTCTTTACACATTTTCTTCAACTGCAATCAGAGGTAAATTCAGTTAGAATGCAACAACCATGTTGGTCGATCCGTTTTTTCAGTCAACATTATTAAATCCTCCCCAATAGCCACTTATGTTCTGTGGTGAATAATTGAAACATTGTTGGAGCAGAGTATAAGAGAAATGCTGCTCTTACCCCGAAACTTTACTAAAAAAACAATTTCAGGTCCGGATAAGCTGTCTTTAAGATAAACATTACCAAGTTAGGCCTGCAGTTAGCTACATTGTAGATGGTAAAAAATTTGGCTACAACTTTTGCTTACTATGCATAAATTGATCTTTGAGTGATAAGCCAAAAAAGCAACATTTCAGGGGCATCACATAGAACGGATTAAACTATTTAGACCCAGGTAGAGGAAAACTAGCTGAGATACAGTTGGATACGGAGGGAGGAAGTACGTAGGAGCCTGTAATTGGTACGATAATCAACAGGAATAACGGTATGATTTGTGTGGCTAAAATATATTGTTTACCTCCCTCACCAGGACTGAACTTATCAGCAGACACATTGTAAGGTAAAGAAGACAACACTACTCGAGAGAGATGCATAGGATAAACACGGTAGAGAAATGTTATCCCTAGGACGGAAAGAATGATAGAAATTTGAGACTTCAATTTCCAAATTATTAGAAAACATCTCCCTTATATAGAACTGAATAGACAACACCTCTAAAACAATCAACTAGAATTTTGCACAAATATAGTAAATGATGTGACACTATTTAAGGCATGCTTACCGATTTCTCAAAGTTGTGACTCGAAACACTGCCTGCAAAGACCATGTTGATTGCAAAATAGTGAGCTGAATAGTCTGGCTATTTCTATATATAAAAGCTTGTAACTTAAAAACTTAGGAACTAACACTTTACCATAACACGAGAAAAAGATCAAAAGATCAAAAGAACAAAAATAGAATATTGGATTTTTACCTCAACTATTAATAGTGATGATGCTTAGTGTAGTCATTGGACTAAACAGTAAAAGCATTAACCGTTACCAAAAAAATCAATAACTATGGCATTTAAGGGTGTGGCCTAGTGATCAATGTAGTAGGTTGAGAACCATAGAGCCTGAGGTTCAAATCTCAACAAAGGCAAAAAAAACACTAGGTGAACTTTTCTCATATGTACTAGTCTTGTTGACGTAATTTCCTCCAACCTTTTGTTGGTGGGAGGTGGACACATGGAATTTACCGAGGTTATCAAAAGCTGGTCCAATCACCACCGTTATCATAAAATAAAAAAACCAAAATAACCAGGAAAAACAGTATGGGGTAATTATAGCTGTCTATACAAGTCCAGGTAATGTAACATAGGTCATATTCTAGTCACTCCCAACACATAATCAATACTCCTTCCCCCTAATTTGTCCACTTTCGTTTGTCCCTAATTACTTGTTCACTTTGCTTTTCTTAGTTGTTCATAATTATTTGTCCATCTTGACAAATCAACAAAAGATAATTTTTTTATATATTATACCATCAATTAATTATTTTGAAAAAGGTGAAACTTTTTGAAAATCTTTATGTTTTTAATTCATCTACTTCATAATTAATAGGCTAAAATGGTAAATTCATTATGTCAATCATTGTTTTCTTAATCAATTCAAAAGTGAACAAGTAATTAGGGACAGCGAGAGTACTAATTAAAGATGAATGATTAATTTGAAATTGGGTATTCAAGAAATGGAATGAGAGCACTAAAAATCAAACCTCTAGTGACTATTCCGTAAGTTTCTTCAGCAACAGTTTTGGTGGCAGCAACCTAAATTTAGGATAAAAATTAAGCAAACCCATTTTCACAAGATCGAATTTTTTTTT